TTTAATACAACATAGTTGTTTACAGTTGCCGAACAACCAAACTGCATTACCATGCACTTATATTAGCTGACTCATAAAACCCAACAGCAAAATCTAAATTAAACCAGTTGCTATTTAGAACATAAAACTTCATTAAACAATGTAAAAAACATCTGCAACTCTAGATATTTTTATTTTTACAGAATCCAGCAGTTTAATACCAAGTTGAAACAGTGATGGTTAAAACAATAAATAAAGAGTAACAGCCCTGGGGTAGACAGTTGACATAGCAGATGCCCGTTTTATTGGTTGATCTGAAGCAGAAATCATACAGTCACATGCTGTTTCAACCCACACATTATCATTAGTGACAGCAGGCGGCAGGCTTTGAATTCATTACACAGTTTTATGCCATCTACAGCATGGTCACTTCTTTTTCCCACTTATTTCCACATGCACTTAAGACACATGTTCTCCTTCATTATCTAAGATTCACCCAGTTAAGCAGGAAGCTAAAAAGCTATTCCCCTCATAAGTGGTTGTTCTTCTAGTGATGGTCTGCCTTTATGTCAAGTTTATGTCACTCCAGTTTCTTTTATGATTGCACGCTTTGACAGGAAAAACTCAAGTGCATTTATTAACTTGGAGTCTGGGTCAATTCATTTTGCAGGCTTGTCTTTTAACACAGGAAGTTAAACCACCACCCCTTTAACCAACCAGCCATCAATCATATATTGTGTGTATAGATCTGCATTAAAAAAACACAAGTTTCCATTGTTATGTACGAGTTCTGGCAACAATTAGGAATGATGCTATAATTATCTGGATACAGAATGAGCTGAAATCAACATCATTTCAAGCTTTTTTCAGGCTGACGACAAGAAGAAACACAACTTGGCTTTGGCATGACTGCAGCATTATTGGTAAACTTCAACCGGTATAACAAGAAATTCCCATTTGTAACCTTGACAAGCCCATATTTTAAACTTTTTTCCACTTAAGCCCAGTGTGAGTGTCTGTGGACAGCAAAGGGGACAAGTGAAGCAGTAAAGAGCTTGTAACCATGACCTCTAATCACCACTGAGACTGTAATGACTTCCATCTGGCCTACTGAAGACACCTGGCAGCCATCTTGGATCTAAGGGGATCAGGATAGGGCCTCTGTTTATTGTGTGAACTCCTCCCATAATGTGTAATGGTCCCCACTGTTTGTATAAACTGAGAGAACCAAACTGTAATCTTTAGCAGAAGATTAGCTCCACATTCAAACAGGCTGTCTATTCTATAATTATTTTGTCCTTCAAGTTATAATATTTACCATGTTAACATTCTTAGTTTATTGTGTTTGCAGATTCAAATTTCCAAATTAGAAACAAAGAAACAGTAGAGTTGATGGGAATATAATTTGTTCTGCAGGTATTTGAACAAATGGAAATTTTGACCCAATTATGACACTAAATGAAAATTTAAGGGATCACCAAAGATATGGCAATGCACCATGAGGGGGACAAGAATGTCTGTACCATATTTAGTGGCATTAATTAAGTCATTTCACAAAATTAATGAATTCCAACCTCATGGTGGCGGTAGAGGAATCAGCAAAGTTATTCATCATCTATGGACCAGGGATGTCTTTACAAAATTCCATGGCAATCCATCAAACAATTGCTGAGACATCTCAGGTCGGACAAAAGAGGTAGACAAACAACGCGACAGGCCGGCATAGACTTCCCTGGGGCCTTGCCTCTAGCGTGGCTGAAACACGAAACTTTATTTCTCACTCGTATATAGCACGCTTCAGAGAGGTTGGTCTATAAAGTATACATAAATAATCAGTCTTTTGGTCGTTGCCAGATTTGCTCACACACGTGTCATATCTAACCAATAGCTCCACAAAGAATGAACCAATGAGATGAGTAAGTTATTACGATTTAGCATGTTCTCTTGCAATGGCAGAAGTAACAGCAGTGAGCACCAAACAGAGTATAGAGAGAAAGTACTCCAAGTCTGAACACCATATTTAGCCACTGATTTCCACCAGATATAGGTGACAATGTAAAATGTTAGTTTTCTAGTTTAAAGCTTTTGTGGTGACTCTACTAGCCTAAATGTGATAAAATAATTATTAGGGGGGTTATTTTATACATATCTACAGTATTTATTTTCACACATATTCAAACTAAGGATGACAAACACTGGCCAACACAAAAGTACAAGCTGACAGCAAATTTATCTACAGCAAGTGCCATTAAAAGTGCCATTCATCATTTGTGGCCATTTAAATGCTCTGAATGCAAAAACACATCTAACCTTTACTGAAATAATTGATTTTCAAGGCCTTTAAGGCATCATGATATCATTTCACAGCACTCAACACACATTATTTCATCAAACAAAGTTCTATTATTTCATTACTGCAGTAATTCACTTTGTAAAATGTCCTCCACATGATTCTGGCTTCATTGCCAGCTGGCCATGAGCTGTATCAAAACAGCGAAGATAGTTCAAAAACACCTTCAAAAACACTTTCACAGAACATGGTATTCTGAGGTGTTGAGTTATAAATAAAAATTCTGTTATCAAGAGATCCAAAATGAAGTCAGTTTAATCAAGCAGTAATAAAACAGGGCTCAGTGCTTTCATGTGTAATCTTGGCTAGTTGACTTTTCTGGGAGTTGGAATAAAAACAATTTATAGTGGTTAGCTGTTTTTCTTTTCAAAAACATGCACTACACTTAGTGACTGACAAACCTTGACATCTATTTGATATTAATTTGGATACTGTGCATTATAGTAAAATAAGAACAGTGCTCTTTCCAGTATACTACCTTCAACAGCCTCCCTTGGCTCTTCCAGGAAAAATGAGACATCTTTCTTCTCCACTGAGTCATCAATGATGATCTGCGGGATCGACACAGCCCTCTCTGAGGCCACAACCATAGAGCCATTACCTCTGGACTTCAAACGTCTCTTGGTCGCCTTTTTCTGACAGACAAATGAAACATCAATCAATTTAATAAACCAAAGGTGTGTCAGGACTATCATGATGATAAATTGTATACGTAATTATTAAATTAAATATAGTTTTATAGAGTCTTCAAAGAGCCATTCTGATCAAACCCTTATACCACAATAAATGTTGTCAGTTATGCCATCTAGGCAAGGCCTCAGTTTATGCAGGGAGAAAATGTTTCATAATGTCTCAAGAAAACAATGAATTCCTGTTTACATTAAGTTAAGTGTCGCCCATCATGTTTTTTTCTGGTGTTTCTGAATTTTGTGTATTGTCTGTATAGGAATCTAGGAAAGCTAGATTTGGACTGCCTCTTCATCTCATACAACAAAACACTTCAAACTGAAGTTTTAGCCAATAGAATTATAGAGGTATGATCACCCAGCAAAATCTTTTCAATATAAGGGAAGACAAAACACACATTTATCTAACCTAAAGTGCTCTTCGCTTTGCTTGCTAATGCATGTTGTCGGTGTAAATATCGTCACTACAACAGCTAGTTGTTTATTTTTTTGTGCTACTCCACAATTGCATTGCTTCCTATGCTGTATGTTACAAAGAGTAGGGAATACAATTAGTTTTATTGTAAATCATTTATAGTCCATTTAACATTTACTTCTTTTTTTACAAAATTAAGATAACACTATAGCTAAACATTAATTTCTTCAATGTGCTAGCCTGTTAGCAACACAGTAAAGTTGAATCCATATCAGGTGTTTTCTCTGAACACATTATTTTCCTTACCAACCAATCTTACCAACGCTGCATGCTGGTGACATCAGCAGTACATGTTTAATCTCAGTTTCTTTGCGTGAGATCATAGCTCTGTGTTGATTGATTCAGTGAATTTCTGAGGACCTAAATGGTGCCTCTAGTCCAATACTTAGACCCACTGACCCAAACCAACATCATGGACGTGGCCTTTATATAAACTTAATTATTTGGACTCACTGGATCAGACTTTGGCATTGACAAGTGGCCAGTAGTTCAATCCAAATACCCGCGGTTTGAATGACTCATTAGCAAAGAGTGAGAGAGGGATGTAGTGGTGGGTGTCGTGAGATTGATAGAGAGAAAAAAAAGAGAAAAGACAGAGAAAGATGGAAGGGCATAAAGAAAATGTAACAGACACTGAGTTTAAAAGAGAGAAAGACCAAGAAAGAGAGACTGATGGACTAACTTACTGTAGATATAAAGACAGGGTGTGTGTGTGTGTGTGCGTGTGTGTGTGTGGGGGGGGGGGGGGGGGGGGAGGGAGAAGAGAAAGAAATAGACATGGCAGAGAGGGGCAGAGGAAAATGCACAGAAAGAGAGTGTATAGGAAGAGCAGTGAGGGAAAGGGAAATAAAATCTTTTAAACAGAGAAGAAACAGTAGAGGAATCTTGAAAGACAGAGAAAGGGAGGCGAGAGAGGAGAAAGTCACATGCTGGAACAGAAAAGAGCGGAAGCAGCCTTCATTCTCCCCAATACATGTGGGTTCAATGCCACACAAAGATTTTTTTGTTGTTGTTCTATTAGACAAAGGTTTACTCCCATGAGAAAGGCGGCGGTGACATCATCTCAACTGACTGAGTCTTTGTCCGGCAGAGACAAAGGCCTCAAGTCATCCTAGTGGAGTCGGGACTTGGTCTGCTGTGTGTGTGTGTGTGTGTGTGTGTGTGTGTCTGTGTGTGTGTGTGTGTGTGCTGTGTGTCCTTCCACGTATGCGTTTGTTTGTGGGAACTTAACTTGCCCTTTTATGCTGTATGACCCAAGTGCAACATAGCTAATATTGTTGTGAAAGGTGAACTGCACAAGGAGACAATACAGTGTGGGCCAGACTTCCGCCCTGCAGTATCACAGTCTGAGGGCTTTTTCGGATAACGTCCTTTTGTAGATGCTCCACACCTCAAGTTCAAAGGATTCTTTCAAATGTCTATTGAAGAAGAAAATGTTTCGCTCATATATGAAAGATACCACATATGTGTATTGTCATTTCAGAATGAGATATCTACAACCAGAAAATAAGCAAATCAATTGTCATATGACCTAGGTTTAGACTGAATGCTGTTATTTTTCTGGGTGGGGTTTCACCTTTATTAGTTAGATGTTAGATCAAAGTAAAGAGACAATAAACAGCAGAAGAGAAATAGAAAGACAAAGATGGTGGAGGTGAAAAAATGTCCCTGGCTGAATTCAAAGCCAGGATGTCACAAGGTATGCGCCTTAGCCCACTGCATCAAATTATTTTAGGGATATAGAGCAGTTTCAAAAGGAAAGACTTGTCCTGTTCTTTGGACAAAAGTAAGTAAATCAATTGCTACTGACAACTGTACAAAACATGTGCCACACAATAAATAAGTTTCACAGTGAGTTGAACTAGATAATTACCGATATGTTCAGTTTCCTGGCGTAAGGGCCGGAGTTGTCCGATTCCACTGTAGTTACAGCCTCTGGAGTGAGAACATACATTTTCCATGTAGCAGCACAGCCGCATGGTTTCTCTGCTGCATAGCACCTCCAAAGTGTCTGAACAGGTTCAAGTATAGAACTAGTGTTAGTCATGCACTGATCCACATAGCTTACAGTAATTTTCCTACACTCCCACAATACAAATGTAAAACCAACCATAGGACTATGCCAATATTAACCTGCTGATGGATTTTGGTTTGACATTTGTATATTTCTGTTGCTACTGCTATCTCTTAAGTGTCAGACAAACCGCACTTTTCAACCCAATGTATTCTGTAATATATCTATAATATATCTATATATTTACTGTTTATATTTGTTTTACCTTTGTCTTAATTGTCAGTCACATGTAAAGCATTTTGAATTGCACTAAGAACTATGACATGTGCTATACAAGTTCAAGTTGATTGATTGATAATGTCAAACAATAGTTTATTCTTTATATAGACAATTCTATTCTATTCATAGTATTATCAAACAAATTTTTCTTTCAAAGAACCATTGAAAGGTTATGTGCAGTATTTTCTCAGTGTCCTGCAGACATTTAGGTGTGTGTCACAGGTGTCTAAACTGTCTGTGGTTGCATCTCAGTTTGTTCAAGGTAATTGTAATTCTTGTAATGGTTGCCACAACATAGCTACTTGTTCGTCTACCATTTCACTCTTGGCAAGTGGAATACAGCTCACCTTTCCCATGGCTCAGTAGGAATTTGTAGGCTACAAATACTGTTACTTTTTCTCTCTGTTCAGTTCCTAATGTTTGCTGAAGCTTACACTGGCAAGATCTAGAAAGTTTGCACTTTTCAAAAAATAAGGATCAGATTGAAAAGACTTTTGACTTTATGTTCATAGTATAGGTATAGAAGACATGTGTCTACTTTAAACCACTGACCACCAGTGTTTGACCTGGATTTTAATGGATATTTGTGGATTACTACACTACATTTTATAAAGCTAAGATGCGTCCATTAGATGCTAAAATTGACCTGGATGAGGCAGGCTGCAGCAGGGATCTGTCTGTTGAAGTGCTTCTGTCTCTGCTTCTGCTGGACTTTCAGGGCAAACCCTGACCCCAGGATACCCTAATCGGAAAGAATGTGTTTTTACTATATATATGTTCATACTGCAAGAAAATATATTACATTAAAGTTGTAACATATATTGAAGGAATGTAGATGCAGAATCTAACAGAAAAAAAAAATGTATTGTACAGGAACACTAAGAATCAACTACTAAAGGATAAAGACAAATACAGTCGTATCATAGACAGGAAGGCGTAAACTAAAACTACCATAACTTACATAACATAATTGTAATAAGGTTGGGACTAAATTAAACAAAATAAATTCAATAAATCTAAAATGAAGTCTTTCTGTACTAATTGTGAAGTTCATAGGATTCAGATTAAAATTATATTTACAGCAGGCAGAGCAAAGAATGAGATGGCGAAGACACTGAAGCAGGAGGCGATGGCCTTGCCTATCCACGTTTGAGGAATTTTGTCTCCATAGCCGATTGTGGTGACGGTCACCTAGAGACAGGATGGATAAAGTTCCTCTTACATCTATCAAGATTATTATGAGCAGATTGTAGACATATGGATAACAGCTCTTTGAAAGAAAAATCCTCCAAAGTACACAGCCTTTCACTGATGCAAATGAGGTCAGAACATTTAGGGCTGATGTGATTTCATCTTAACAAAAGCCACATCATTGCAGGTTGAGGCGGGAAAGTAGAGGGTGTCTGATTAAAAAAGGCTGATTGTAAACAAAAGTGTGCATGAGAGACAGTTATGAAAGAATAATTTCCAAGGTGAGCCAAGTATTCAACAGATATCCCTTCCTTCATCCCAGACAAAACCTCACTGATACAAATGTACATCATCTTCCCTTACATGTTAAACATCACAATTTTACATTAGATATAACTTCTCATGTTTAACACTGCTGATCTGATGAAAATGTCAGTCAAGGTAGAGCTCTCAAAGCTTTACCAGAGCAGTCTATAACAGGAATTAGACAATAAAGAAAAAGTTCATCAGCCATTCTGGCCTTGCTGTCAGCAATGGTCGGGGCATTTGAAGCTCTTGCTCCTCAAAGGGAATAAGATTCCCAACCACTAATCCTCAGTGAGTGCAGGAATTTGCAGGGGTGAGGGGGGAAAACAAATACCTCTTGCATTTGCATGTACACCCACTCTGAAAGCCAAGCCAATTCTGACACATTCAGAACACACTTGGCTTACTATGGGTGTCTATGGGGTATCGCTGCGTCAGCCGTCGCTGAGCACTAACACAAAGCGGCTGATGTAAGGTGAGATACTTAAAAGGGCTTTGGGAGTAAAAAAAGAAGGATCAGGGGCGGGGAGGGAGGGTGGGTATATGTTGGGGGTGGGTAGAGTGGAGGGGGATTTAATCCCTCATCCACAAATCCGATGACTAAACAATGTCCTCCTGACCATCAGAGTGGAATGGGCTGCTCAAAAACACTCCTCTCATTCAAATTGTAGGGTGTGTGGCAAAATCCTCCTCCTGTCTACACAAAGGTCACAGACCTAGTCTTTCAATATGTGTAAGTGTGTGTTTGTATGCCAATATGCATGGTTATATGAATGCTGATCTGCACGCATATTTACTGTATGTCTGATTACACCGAATTCATATTTAACGTAAACACTGTAACTACAAAATGTTTGTAGTAACTAAAGTTAAAAGTTTGGCAGTACTAGCTCTCATTTTCTATTTCACGCTCTGTCCTGGTTTAAGTTAGACAAAGGCTGTTAAAATCAAATAGCCATTACCTAACTATCAGCAACTGGCAAAAGAAGAAGAGAAGCAGGAATGGTAAGGGAGGGGGGAGAGCAAGAGAGGGAGTGAGAAAGAGAGAAAGAAGGGGATATGAATCATGGCATTGGCTTGTCCTCCAGCTGTGCCTTGCACCTGCATATCCGAATGTGGAAATCATGCCAAAAGAAGGAAAACACACTGGGAGAGCTTAGCATTCTCCAATCAGCACAATCTCATTTAAATAAGCGCGCACACACACAAGCACTCACAAACTTGACCAAACCTATTGTAAAAGCATATCATGGATCTCAAGTTTACAGTCTCAGAAAAACATGATTCTTTTCTCATAATTGTATAACTTTCCACAGAGTAGTGAGGAGCACTGTGACCTCTCTAACCCTTGTTACATAAAGGTAGTAATCCCACAATTAAAGTTTTAATTAAGGGAACTGACACTTTATATTGGTGCTCTAAAAGTTCTTTCAGCCAAAGAGCCCTGAGGTGAATGGTTTATTACCGTCTCTTTGTGGCACGCTGATCCCCTGCACAAGGCTGCCATAGGTTTCTCATTACTCTGCGCTTTCAATTCAAATGTTTAATTAACTACTCTGGAAACCTGAGCCTCCGTGCTGAGGGAAAATACGCAAAACCAGCTCTCCGCACGGAAAACATCTACACACCTGCCTATGTGTTAAGTGTTGCCGTAACACATGCATGCTACACGAAGAACCAATGAGAATAATAAAAACACAAGGAGGTTAATAATTGGTCTAACCAGGGTGGCCAATCAAGTCCAATTTTTTAGTAAAGACTTGAGATTTGAGAGTGCCTTGTGCAGATTGTTTGTTACAGCTCTTTAGAGAGAAGATCCCTTTCTTCATGTACATGTGATGTTGCCTTTCAGGTATGTAAGCTTTGCTGGGAAACTCAAGTAGCATTTAAGGATCCAAGTAATATATGCATTGCACAAAAACAAAATTTAGAAAATGTAGTCATCCAAATAGGCAGAGACGAGCACAAATACATCAGTGAAGGACCTGTTTTGTCTATACAATGTTTCTATTTTCTAGTTTAGCTGCCTTACCACCCCCCACCATAGGGCATCGGCATAGCTGGAGAAGCCTGTCTTGCCCTCCTCATCCACAGCATCCTTCTCTGCCAAGTAGACAAAGTAGGAGGAAAAGATCAGGCCCAGGAAGCCGATGTACAGGGTGGTGATCAGCTCCTGAAAAAACACAATATGCCCTATGAAAGATTATGCATGTATGATGAATATACCTTGACCATTTGTACCATTATAGAAAAAATATTACTATTTTGCATTCTGACAAAGCTCTAACGGAAAACAACGACAGATATATACGCTGATCATGTCACACTCTGCCTGTCTGCCATGCCGTGTTTTGCATTTTGTGTTTAGTTAGCGTTATTTTGGTCTGTTGGGTTTTGGGGGTTTGTCTTATCTGTCGTCTAGTGTTCGGTAACCCTTGTCATGTCTGTTACCCCAGTGATCCCTCTGCATGTCTGTCTCTGTTTTCCCCTGCTCTCTCTCTCCCTGCCTGTGCCTCGTTAGCCTCATGTCTTTCACCTGTGTTGCTCCCGCCCTGCTCATTAGTCCCTGTGTGTATATACCTGGTGTTTCTGTCTTGTCTTTGTTGGGCCATTGTTTATTGTCACCTAGTGTTGCAGTGTGTTCTCCTGTTGTCAGACTCACTTGTGTTTCCCTGCTTGTTTTGGATTTCTGTTGGACAACCTTTGTTTTGGACTTAGTCTTTCAGCCACTCAGTCTGTAAGTGTGCTCGCTTTTTGTTGACCTTACATAAATCACTGAACTGCACCTGCTAGCCTTTGTGTCCTACATTTGGGTCCTCCAACCTGCTCAACCCTGCTTCACCACACAAATCCGTGACAGATCATGCCTCTCTGCAAGTTTTTTCTTTCTATAGGTGACTGCCAAAACTAAATTGTGTACACCACTGAGAACAGTCTTGTGTCAGCATGGTCACCCACCATGTTCTGCATTGTGGGAAGGCTATTACAGGGTGGTTATTATAGCTGACTAATATACAGTGGTCTACAATGACTCAGACTTGAGGCATTGAACAGGACACTGGATGCACATCCAATCCACCCAAAACCAAACCTGTGAGGTTAGGTGGAAAGTGACAGTCTGCTACACGTGACCAGTTGTAGATGTTAATGTTTAATGCTTCTATGATTATGTCATGGCAGGGAGAGACACCTATAGAGCCATGTTAGTGGTTATAATGTATAACCATTAGTCTAATATGCAATACTGTCTATTTGACTGTATTAACAGATAAAATACAGCAACTATTGAAGACAAGATTTGAATACCTTAATTAATGAGCAAATGTAAATATTTTTAAATGCCCAATTGTGAAACCACATTGAAATCAAATGCTATTTTGAGCACACATTCTAACATGCTTAGTCTTATTCCTTTCCACCAACTCATTGACACAGCTAAAGGCAATATTTCCACTAAACGGAGCACATCATTTGATAAAGTGGTCATCTGACAACACGGAGATGGCCACAAATCAAATTAGGCTCGTCGTGAATTCATCTTACACTTATTTTCTTGATCTTTGCACGCAATCCTCACTGATCACTCCTGTACTTTTTATGCCTCAAAGAGACTGTGAATGTCAGGTTTGACTATAACCAAAGAACACAGTCTACTTCAGGGATTAAGAAAAGAACATTATGTCCTTTGTGTATCAGCCTGAGAAAATACTAAAACAAGTGTACCAGAATACAAGGAAAAAAGAGAAGGAAACCTTGACGATCTCTCTTCTTCTCCTTATAAAGCCAGCTGCTGAGGCTTATTTGTGCACGTGCACATGCATTTCTGACTATGGATATTATATAAGGAGAAGTGTGGTCTGGGCAGTCACCCTACAGAAGAAACTGCAGCTTAGTGATGTCATGGGAGGGTGAATGGCTTTTTATCTGTCTGATATGTGATAAAAAATAATTCTAAAAAACAAGCAAAGAGTTTTGCATTAGCAGCATTAGCCAGCATTTAATAGCCTGAATACTTTCAACCTACCTGTCGATGTATAAAAACTACAGATCCCAGGAGCCTCCATGTTCCTCCTTGTCGATCCACATGGAGCATGCGCAGGATCTGAAGGAAACGGATGCCCCTGCAAAACACAAAACCACCTCACCCATCTCAATATCTTCTCATCCCTCTCCATCTATGAGTAAATAATAAAATGCAGAAAAAAATAGTCACTCAACCTGATAGCAGATGTGGCAAACACTTGGCCATTGGACCCTACTCCAAGCACAATGATTGAGGCAATGACCACTATCAAATCTGTGACAGAGATAAAGACATAGAAACAAGAAAATCAAATCAGGATTGCAATCACTTCAGTTTCAATGAAACCTTGTACTAAAGTAAAGCCTTACATTGCCTGAATGTTCTAATTTGTTGATCTACAAGAACAATTCATGACATCTGTTGTATTAAATGGGAGCAAAGGAAAATGCCAGGTGCACCTATAATTGATATGGGCTTCCTGATAAAGCGGAGGCGTCCTTTGATGCCTGCATATTTGCTGCGACAGCCTGCCGACCACAGGCGGACCACATACTCTGTGCCAAAGAACAGCACCAGCACAATCTCCTGCGGAGCACAATGCAAACACAGAGCAAGGGTTACATTAATCCACTGGTACAGAGACAATAATTGTTAAACACCTACAGGACGAGAGGATGTGGAAGTAGATAAGGTATTATTTCTAAAAGCATTGATAACACTGCGCCATGCGTAATGACTAATCTAAAAGCATTAAAGCCATTATAATCAATCACCAAGATTTACAATACAATATGAGTGGGTAATGACAGGTGCGTGAGACAGATAAAGAGAGACACTGAGGTGGTCTAGTACCAAGATCAGCCAACCACCCAGGAGGAAAGATGGAGGTTGATAACATGGCTGATGACAGCTCATATTGAGACAGGGTCAATGGCTAAGTGATTGAAACCACGGGATGAAATGCCATCACACTGCTGCCTTACAGATAAGAAGTCTAAGTAACAAACTTTGGTATTGAGATTTTGTTATAATTGTAAACCTTCCTGTAGCACTTGAAGAAGACCGTTAACTATACTTAATCTGAGAAAATGAAAAAAAACAAAGGCTTGACTTGGAGTTTATATTTATATGCACCTGCATACCTGTTGAGGTTTGTGCCTTTAAGTTGTGTTCCAACCTGGGCCATTGTGCATTTGTTTTTCTATTATGTGCATGCACATATGCCTCTGTAAATTAATTAAGCCTGTCTGATGGAGATCGTTTTCCTGGCCACCGTGTATGCATAATATTTTGCCTCCACATTGTCTGTTCGAACCTAAGGCCATGTGGGTGGCCATCTCAATGATTGCTTGAACTGGCTGCTCCCTGACCACCCTTGTATGAAACTTAATACCATGAGCCCTGCTGCAATAACACAGCACCACGAAGCCCCAAAACAATGACCTGTCAATCAAACCAGACACCATTCTGGCTAGCAAAAGTTTCACTAGATTCAGTACAAAGTAAAAACTCACTCATGTACATTTAGTGATGCTTTTGCAACAGTATCATAGTGATGGGGCAGACCAATGGACAGATCCTTTATCCTACATTTTCAGTTTGCTCATTTTCATTTATTAACCGTGTTTACAGCTTTAGAAGCCGTCTGGTCTAGGATTCCTATAGCCCTTATTCATCTCCATGAATTGTTCATTTTCTGTCACTGAGTTAAAGACAAAGAGAGAGGTGGAAGGAGGAAGATAAAGAGGCAGAATTGAAGCCAGAGACAGGCAGAAATGGTTCAGTAAATCTCTATAACATAGCCTGATAATCAGGCCGAATTACCATTGGTTTCACTTCATTCATTCAGATTTGAATCACTGAACAAATTGGAGATCTGGGCAGGCATTCAGAGGTCTGGAAGCTAACTACAACATTAATTTCATTTGAACTTGACCAGTCAGCTATAACCTTATTGTTTGTGTAGGAAAGTCTAGACTATATTTCAAGTCCCTATTGGTGTGTCTATATAACCTATATATAACCTCTGGTGTTAACCAAGCAGCAACATCCGGGGCTGAAAAACAGACACTCTAGGGAAAAATGAAGCAGACACAGAAGCGCTAAAAACTGCAGTTCATCAAATGGCCACTTGAGGCTGGCTAAACATGTTTACAGCCTGGTACAAAAAATGTTTTTGGTCTCTTTAGCTAATTTCCCTGTTCATAATAACAGTATGGAGGGGTGAACTCAACCATATAAATTATAGTAAGGCTTAAAGTTATGATTAATTAAAGACGTGTCCGCTTTGAGTGATAGTTGGGTGCCCTCCCAGGTGGCTAGCCGCTAGTTCAGCAACCAGGCTTCATTCGGCCTGCATCACCACCTTAGAAAGTGTCAGGCACTGCCAAGTTGGCGATGGCCTGGCACCACCGGGACCCGCCTAAAATGAGCTTCACAGTAGCTCTTCAGAAAACTATTGTTGACATCATGGACACTATGTCTATGTTTTATACAATCTATGGTGCTAATTCATAACTGGGGATTAATAATATTTATTGTGAATGTTTTCGAGAAAATAAAACAAAATAATAAGCATTCACTGAAGCTGACAAACAGCCAGACTAAAACATCAGCACGAACACAAAAAGCCCACAAATCCCAATTCACTGGCCTTAGTAATTATGACATCTGGGTAACATTTGAAAGTCAAAGGTACAAATGAATTTTGGAAATTTGAAGGGATTAGTCATGATAAATCCATAAAATGGGTCACCCAGATGTTGATGTGTTTTTGTATGTGTATCAGAATCTGGCAACTACATGTTTACTGAAAACAGCCGCCTGTTTGCGCAGTGCTAATCTCGTCAAGCCAGATGAGGATGAAGCTCATTGAAAGAGCTGCTTGGGAATTACGGTATGAGATGAAAATGTGATTAGATTGCTTCATCTGTGTGTCCCACTACAAGAGAGGTGCGATTATGCACACACACACAGTCACTCATGGATGGTACACAAACCAAATAATAGCCTTGTTTTTAATGTTGGATTCCAGATAATATTGTCAATTATAAAAAGTTGGTTCTGACCAATTAATTTGATTGGACAAGTGGCATTCCTTAAGAGCTGATATAGAGTATACTAGGGGTGTGTCAATAAGTCTATACAGCAACATATCGTTATACAGTTTTCCATGATATTGTATCGATATCCTCGCCAATCATATCGATACATACAATAAAAAAAATAGCACTTTGACGGTTAGCTCAATGCTAATATATAATGGGAATTTCCATTAACGTGCTAACGGACATTAGCATCCTGATAATATAATCTTAACATAAACTTTACATTTTGCTTCACAAGCTTAACATCCTGAGTGACATACTTTGCGAATACTTTAAGTACATATGTTTCCTGAGCTCTGTGTGAAATAAAAAAGAACTACTAACTTCACTGTCTTGATCTGCTAGTTCTGCACTCCACACAGATTAGCTACCTCAACCCCAAAGGGTCAAAACCCAAAATTCCCTGTGGCCTAAAAATACAGCTATCACTAGTTGAAGAAAGGGCAGTACAATGCTGTGTCACTGAAAGTTGTCAATATAATGTGATGTACACATTAGACTTAGGAGGTACACAGCAATTTCTATTTTCAGCAAAAAAAATTCATAGTTGCTCTGTAGTTTTAATTTACAGAATGAAAAACGTGTGATGCAGACTTCTGCTGTTTTCTAACAGTTTGGATTTGCAGCAAATAAAGAACTTTTTCACAGGCATTTTATGTTCATAGTTAGATATCGTGATGTATCGTTGTAAGATTGTCTAGCGATATATGGATTACCACAAAATTGCTGTATCGTGATACTATCATTATCGTGAGCCGTGTATTGTATTGTATTGTGAGGTACCCTGTGATTCCCACCCCTAGTGTATACTGTAACCGCACTGGGACATTTACTTTTAAAATGTTTTCCACATTTCCACAACATTTAAGTAAAATTATGAATGGTTGTCAGAAGAGAATTATCTTCAGCACTTGGCCTGTGGCCTCGTACCTACGACAGAATAGCCAAAAAAAACTGCCATGCTGATATTCAGTTCAACAGCACACCTTCTCATGATATACACAAAATCACTATGACATCTCACTTACAACAACAAGCCAGGAAGACAACTGGCAGTTGATTTGAATCAGCAAATTAATTTATTTTTTGTGTCACAACCTGGCTCAACAGTAAGTGACAAAAGAGGGAAACCACATAGTCTGTAAATAATACCAGATGTTTTAATAAGTAAATTAAGCAAATAAATACAATTGTAGGTGTCTGCTAAATCAGTATGTATGCAGTGTATGTGTGAGTGGAGTGTATGGATGTAAAAGAAAGAAACAGAACAGAATCAGTCGGTAGGCCAGGGGAAGAGAGAGTCAAATCATCAAGCAGGATCCTTTATAGCCACCTGAGCCATGCCTGCTCAGGTATGTTGCAACTTACACCAGGTTTCAGCTCCACCCAGCAACAACCTGGATTAAAGGGACAGAACACAGCAAGATACAAAGAACAAGAGAGGGCCCAAACCTAGGGCCTGTTCAGTTGTCATTTTCAGCAAAAAAAAAATTCTGATTCACAAAAGAGGTTGTAATAACTGGTACAAACAAACAGTATACTTGGCGCAGGAGTGTTTTCATCATCGACTACGTGTATGTACATATGTACGCCTTTTCTGGTATTCTTCGACCATGTTGAGTCTCTGCAGCAGCTCTATAAAGCAAACTGATGTACGTAATGGATCAAATATTGGTGACCATGACGAAGTTCTTCAGGGAGAAGTTCCTTAACACCACCTGCATCACTGACTGCACTGAGACCAACCTGCAGTAACCACACAATCATGACTCCAGAGGCGAGTCATCCAGCCATTATTATTACAGCAATACTAATACGTATTTAGTTGCTATTGGCACATGTGGGTTTGTTATGTTGTTTGTATATTTCTAATGCTTATGGAGGCAGATGTAGCGAGAGTCTGGCTTCCTTGAGTAGCTTTGTCCTGCCAATGAAGTGATAGCAGACAGAGGATTTACCATCAGAGATCTGCTGTTCCAAACCACTACAATTATAATGCACAAAAATCTTAAATTTTAAACTCAACAGTTATTGTGTTTGGCCCCTTGATGTTTTTAATTTTGTAATGACTTTTCAAGTACTGAATGATCAAAGGTATTAGAGAGACTATTACCTTAGATCCAAAAAACGTGCTATTTAACTTGTGTCCAACTAAAAAACTAAAACATTTTTCTTCCAGTTTTCATTTCAATTGCTAATGTTGTTGTATTTACTAATATCTTGAAGTAGTGCATGTGGTTATAACCAAATGTAATAACTAAGACAAGCTTATTTTATGTACATAAACTGGCAAGAAGATGCTGTATATCATGGAATTTATTAAACTCATGGAATTTGTTTATATTGATAGTGTTTACACTTATTTCCTTTTAAAATGGAACAGTAGATAGTTGCTCATATGGGTTGTATTTAAGCCATGAAAGTTATATGTACAATTACATAAATATATAAAGCAATAAAAATAAAAAGTAATCTCAG